GGACCAGGAGTGGCCTCTTCTGCGGTGTGAAGCGCAGCAGAGCCCGGGCAAAAATAAAGGTAGCAGGGGCGACCTGGGACGGACAGGCACACAGAAGATATCAGCTCTTAAACACCGTGCCCGCCATAGGCTGGAGGGTCTTCTAAGAAGGGCATTAAGGTTCTGCTTTTAGTCTAATTCACCACACTGGGTGTCCACACTGTAGGGGTTCAAGAGAGGCCACTACGGTGAAGCAGATGCCCTCTCCCGACCCAAACATCGAATGGGGCAGACCAGGGCCAGAGCCAGAGCCAGAGGGGCTGTGAGATCCCAGAGCAGGCTCAGGTGGCCAGGGGGTGGCAGGATTGAGAGAGACTTAAGAGGGTCACTTCAGATGCCCCAGTAGTGACCAGCTCCGTGAATGGGGCCAAAGGCCCTTCTCTCTGGTCACCCAGGCCTACGACTCAACAGCACACCCGGTCGGTGCAGTGAGGAGCCCTCCCCTGCGGGGGCCTGTTCATTCTCGGTCAGCAAACATTTGCAAAGCAAGTGCCTTCCACGCCTGGAACCCCGGTCGGGGTCGGGGGATGCGGGCGCAGCTTCTGCAGCCTGGGTCCCTAATATGCCAGAAGGAAACAATTACCCAAGACTTGCAAGCTGTTCTTGGCGAAGACCACCACCAGAAAAGCCGCCCTGGGTCAGAGATCCGGAGTCTGGAAGGCAAGCTGCCAGAGCCCCCCGGGGCAGCCAGGGACCCAGTGAGGGGACGCCACAGATACGGAGACCTCTACAGGCCAGAACTGCAGGACAGAGAACCAGGGAGGTGGGCAAGCCCCATGGTGAAGCACTTGCCGTTCTCGGGCCACGGGCTTCAGCCACAAGAGACCCTGCAGCTCCAACAGCCTGCCTCCCGCAGCCTCCAGAGCTCACTTCCTCCAGCAGCCCGAGGCGGCCCGTTGGCCAGCCAGCCCCACGGCCACCTCCCCCCGCAGGCTTGTCTGCGGAGTCGCCCTGGGAGGGAGGCAGGGAGGCCCCGGGTCCCTCTGCCCCTTGATGTCTCCACAGCTCAGAGGGCTAGTGTAGGACAGATACTTCCCCTGGTCCTGGGGCCTGTGGCTTGACCCCAGCTGTCTGGTATAACTGGTCTCGTTGGGATTCCACAGCTTTTGAGTCCAGGAGCCGAGTGGGTTGGCCGGGAGAGGCCGAGGGTGGCCGCTAAAGTCTGTGCTGCTGCTGGATCACGCCGCTCAGGCTCCCATGAGCTTCTGGGCAGAAGCCCTCCAGCCCTGCCCGTCCCTCGTCAGCCCTGACTGCACCCGCACGTGTTCGGCTCCACGTTCCTGGCATTTGAGGGTCTTGTAACTCCGTGTCCGTGTGGGAGGTCACTGCTGATGCTGTCGTGCATCCCTGCCCTGTGCATAAGTGGCCTCAGTTTGCACAGGTGGTGCCTCGCTGAGCTGCCCGGTTCACCTGAACTTACCATAGGCATTTGTCAACAGGGCGACCACGCACCTAGCCCTGCCAAGTGCCATTTTCGTAGCTCACGCTTCTCAGCTCCCTAACCAGAGGAGCTGCAGCGCCACCAGGCCCTCAGCCCAAGCCGAGGGTCCACCCACGGGAACACCAATGCCCATTCATCCGGGTGGCGAGAGGCGAGGGCACAGCCAGGGCCACATGGCTTCGTCCTCTCCATGGGTCCAGCATCTGATGGCCACTGCTGCGGGCTCTCCCCCTCAAAGGCGGCATGGCAGGGCAGGGACAATGGCCACAGTTGTCCACACCGGACAAACGACTACGGCCTGAGCGGCTCTGATCCGAGGGTCTTCCCGCAGCATAAATCTAAGCGCCGTTCACAGGCGCTGCGGGCTGGTCCTGCCTGCCAAACGCCGCGGTCACGGAGCGCGCGCTCAGGTAAGAAACCGGCAGAGGTGGCTCTGGCCGCTCACGCTTCCCTCTGCACCCCTGCCGCTCCCGCCCTGCCTTCTCGTCCATGATCCAGAAGGACCATCACTTGTGCCCCCTATGCCTGCTCCGGCAGACCCTTCGACTCCATCCCCCCTAACCACTCAAGTTGCTGAGCAGGATGCCTGCTGTCAGAGAACACAGACCTGCCTCTAGGGCCATCAGAGTGTATGCCCCTCAGGGTCCTCTGCTTGGCAGAACTGCCCCACCCTCAATTAGGCAGTGACATGAGCCACTGCCCAGGCCTTTCCCACCACCAGGCAGTCAGCCTGGTTTGAGGGCAGTTCATCAACAGGGTCGCTCTTGCTCTGTCTCCCAGGGCATCTGGAAACCCATATTCCAGATGGAAAGGCGAGCATATAAACTTGCAGCGGTAGTCTTGAAGCTTTAGGAAAACGCCCCTGGCAGTCTCCGAAAGCTGAGCCGGAATCCGTTCTGATGCCTGCTGCCCCTCACAGCCACGTCCACACCCTCCCCAGCCATCAGCTGCCTCGCTCGAGTGGAGGGCAGCTCTGAGGGTGGGCTGACGCGCTGGCAGGGCAGAGAGGGGATAGGTGGAGGAGGCCACCGCACCGGTGGGCAGCTTCAAACCTGTCCTCCAAGCAGGAAAGGAGCTATATGCCCATTCACCGTAGAGGGTCACAAATTAGAAGTGTGGGCGAGTGGCAGGGGGAGAAAGGAATCTGAGGAGAGGATGTCCCCGGTGCTAATGTCCTCATCCCCCAGGCCCATTCTGCTGCTTGGGTATGCTCACTACGGGCACCGACGGTCTCCGGCCAGGAGGTCGGAGCACCCCTGAGAGCACTCACGAGAGAAACCCTTCCTACCAGACACCACAGAGAAGGATCTTTCTGGAAGCTGCTTTGGAGGGTAGGCAAACAGTGAGCCGGAAACAGCGGAGACCCAAACTCTCCCCTCTGCCCCATCCCCAGCCTGGGGGACCTAGGTAGGGGGAGCTGCAAGATTCCCCCCCCACCCCAGGAATGAGACACAGGCCACTGGTCCGCACCCAGCCGCTGCGGTGTAGCTTGGTTTTATTTATGTCCACAAATATCTCAAAAAAAAATTACAAAATACTCAAATGGAGAGAACACAGAAGTCACGATTTCTGGGTGTCTACTCTGTTTACACTGTGTTATCTCATGGCAAACTACTCATATATACATTTAGCTTCAAGATATATATAAACGTCGCGAACCAGAATGTAACTCCGCTCTGTTGCCGCAGCGGAGCGCAAAGCTCAATCCCGACAACATTCGACAAGACGCGTACAGGACACGGAGAAGCCAAACCAAACTTCAAACAAAAGGAAGGAAAATCCAAAAGGAAACCAAGGGGTCGGGCTTCAAAGACACCATGAAGGTCTGGGGCCTCCTGAACACACCATAGCTGACCCGGTGAGGGTCTCAGGTCGAAGGTTCTTAAACGGCGGAATCTCAGTGCTTCACCTTGGGATGTGGGGGAGAACCGAAACCTAACGAGAAAACACCTTCAGACAGTCTTCAAGTAGAGACCGGCAAGTACTTCACTCTGTCTCTTCTTTGGAAAAATGGGTGACACAGAGAGGCGGTCAAGAAGGTCTGAGTGGCAGGCACCGTGTTCCACCAAAAGGAAAACAAAGATGCGGAGGAGGTGGGGGCCTCGGGCCGGCCCTGCCCCCGGAGGAAACAAGCGCCGCCTGCCCGCGCGCACCGAGTCTGGGGACGCAGGGCTCCTTTGAGCTTGCCTCCCTTAAGGAGCTGAAGTTAAGGCAGAAATGGAACGGGAGAAAATGAAAGAGGAAAACGACAAACATTTCCAGAATATTCCCAGGAGACAAAACAATCCTGTCTGTCCCAACTGAAACCAAACAGTTTAAGTAGAAACTGGAAATGCCCCCGATGCAGGTTTGAGTCCAGAACCCAAATCTGCCTGCTGGCTTCTGGGTCAACGCGCCAGCCTCTGGTCCGGCCCCGAACTGAGCTCCAGTCCTGGCCACACCCCCACCCCCGAGCCTCGGGCGCTCTGTCTTGGCAGTTCTCCGGTGGGACTACCACACGCAATGGCAGAAGCAGCCCTCAAGAGTCTGAAGGGGGAGGAACAGAGAAGACGGCACCCAGATGGAAGGCCGAATCCCTGGGTGCAGACATCCCCAGGTCCCCCGCCCTGGAGAAAGCACACCATGCCCGCGACTCAGAAAGGAGAGGTGGGCGCTCCGCAAGCCAGCCAGAGCCCCCGGGCTGGCAGCTCCAGGTGGAAGGAAGCCTGCCTTCTCATTCCACGTCGGCAGCTGCGACTCCTGCTCCCAGGAGGAACAGGGGGACTCAAAATGGTGTCCCCATCTGATGTGGGTCACCGTGCGTGGACCAGCTCCTGGGGGAGGTGCGCAGGCCGCCACCCACAACCGCGCCAACTCCAAGGCCTCCAGCTGCATGGCCAGAGGACCTGGCCTCCCCACGGGAGGACCCTAACGATGACACACACAGAGCAGGGTTTTTTTTTTTCTGAAATAGATTCCCTTGGCAAGCGTGTGTGATGAGTTCTTTGCGGGGAATCGTGTTTTCTTAAATTTTCTAGAATGTTTATGAAACTGTCAGAGTATTTAAAAAGGCAGTTCATCCAGAACCACCAAACGTGTGTGCACAGAAACCTATAAGGGATTCCACAATCAGACACACAGAAACGTGTGCTTTCTACCCTGTGGAGACAGAACAAGGTGGACACTTAACTACTGCACTCCTGGGACAAAAGAACGGTTTCATCTAACAGATATCTGCACTTCTGGCAAAGCCCAAGCTAGAAACAGACGGAAGTGAAAATCAAGGCAGCAAAACAAAGCAACGGTCTGTAACACTGTTCCTGCAGACCCCTGGGTGCTCCCTGCTGCGACGGCACCACGTCCCAAGCCTCTGCCCGTTTGCAATTAGTAACGCCCATCTGTTCCCTTTAATTAAAGGGATAATTATATATAACTTTTTATTAAAAAATCAACTCTGTATTCTGTCAATAGCTGGTAGGAATTCACAATTAGTGACATGGCTGGAAAAAATAGATCAGAATAGTTTGTGGAAGAAAAAAAATGCCATTCTAAAATTATTTATTTACAGACATAAAAAGCCATGCTGCAGAACTTTCTCAAATTATGAAGATCTCCTACAATGTATTAAAATAAAAGTTTTTTTTAAAAATTATAGCTCTTGGATTCCAAACTCATATGCCACCTATCTGCAAACCTCGCGGGTTCTGGAACACACGTAACCAAGTGTGTCTGCACGCACAGTGAAGGGTGTACTGGATTCTAGCACCTACCAAGAAATCAAGGAAGGAAAAGAAAACTAAAGCCAAACCCCAAGATCGCAGGGAAAGTTTTCTGAATGTTCAGTCCAGTCCAGGACTCACTAAGTTTCTGGGGGACCGTCATGCAGGGAGACCCAAACCAGTCTCAAGGAATCCGCTCTACAAACAAACACTATTATGCTGATAACATTTTTAGTTGTGGGGTTTTTAAATATATAAAGAAATCTTTAGAAGATATTCTTTTTGCTTTTGTAGCTCATATTGTATGTAAAAAGTCCTGTTTCTCCCCCCAAGAATTGGGGTTTCCACAGCCAGCGCTAACAAATAAATAACTTATAACTGCTTGTCACCTTCTTTCTTCAGTCGACTAGAAAACAAACAGAAAGAGAAAATATTCAGCACCAGGCCCGGGCAGGTGGGTTAGGCATGCATGATGACCCTCCTCTGCCCCTCCCTCCCATCAAGATGGCCCTGTCAGAGTCCCCAGAGGCCAGAGGCCAGAGGCCTGGGCCGGCAGAGCCACTGGGAGGGGGTCTGGCACTTGCTGATATGGGAGGAGCACTGTGGACACCGCCAGGAGGGGCGATCGTTAGGCTGGGTCAGCGGCCCCCTGGTGGAGTACGTGGGAGCCCCCAGGTGGGGTATGGGGGAGCCTGGGCTCAGACGGAGAGCACCCCCAACCCCGCCACACTGGCCCCTCCCCACCTCACCTGTAATAGTCCTCCTGACTTGGTAGGTGGCCACCATGCATGTGGGGGTGTCCGTGCAGCCACTGCTGCTCCATGGCCAGTCTCTGTAGCTCTGCTGACTGGGCGTGCATGGCCTGCAGCTGGTGGGCTGCAGACATGGGGGGTGGGATGGCCCCAGGCAGGTCTCGGGGGTAGGGGGTACCTGCCAAACATAGAAGAGTCTTCGATCCAGAAAGGCCAGGGAAGTGGCCAGGGAGTGAGGGGGCTGACAAGGCTGTCAAGTCAGGAGCCAGGCTCCTGAGAGGAGGAGCGAGGGACCTGTGCAGCAGAGCCCCCCCCACCCTCGACCCGAGAGAGAGAGAGAGAGAGAGAGAGAGAGAGAGGGGCGCCCCCAAAGTGCTCCCCTTGGGATCCCCGACCCTGGGGGCGGAGGGGAGGGGAAGACAATATACACCCCCCTCAAGGTTTCAGGACTCCGCCTCTTACTGCTTCAGGAGCCCCACCCTGAGCCCTCAGCTGGGCTCCAGCCCCTCGGTCCCTCCTTCACATCACACTGTCCTTGTCCTGGCTCCAGGGATGCCCTTACACTGCTCCGCCCCAGCTCTCTGAGGGCAGAGGTCTGTGTGCCCAGCTCCCAGGAGGTGATGTGTTGAATATGTGGACGAATGACTGACCGAAGGGGACATCAGACACCAACCCAGCTCTCTCACTGCCCCCTCATCCCCCAGGCATGTTCTTACCAAAAACTGGATGACGAAGCATCTCGTGCTCATGGGGGGGCTGTCCAAGCAGAGGGTTGGGGAGAGTGCCAGGGGGGTAGGGAAAGCGAGCCAGGTGAGGACCAGCGGTCAGGGGGTCAACCAGTGGGTGCACTGGGCCTGCTGAGCCTGGAAGAGGGGCAGAGGTCCAGATTACAGGCGGAGCAGGGCTCTGGGGCTCCCTCCCTGTCCACTCCCCCTCGGCCGTAATTACCAGTGACCGCCTCAACCACGGCCGGCTCCTGGCCACCAGGGCCACCAAGTCCTGACCCAAAGTGGCTGCCCCCTCCCCAACCTGCAGCAAAGTTCCAGAACGTGACACCGAGGTAAACTGGCACACGGTACTCTCTGCTCCTTCCCGAGCACCCCTACAGGCAGTCTCCCCCACGCTGTTTTGTTGAGGACTGTGCTCATCAGAGCCCACCCGGCCGAACACCTGAGGCCTGCCATGCACCCACACGGGACCCGGGGTCACTCTAGACATGCTACAGCCAGCGTGTCTCACCCCAGCTGTCGGCTGGACTGGCAACACTGCCCAGAGCCTCCTCCCTGGCCCTTCACCCACAGAACCCACAGGGGTCAGCGGAGTGGGAGTGGCCAGATGCCCTGTGCTGCGAGCAGGGAGGCGGCTCACTAAGTCCCACTCTCTCCTCCCAGGCCCGGGGCCCCTTCGCCCCGTCAAGCCTGCTCCACAGTTACCTTCCTGACCAGGCTTTCTCATGGCTTTCTCACTGCAGCCTTGCTCCCAGCTCCCGTCCCCTCCCCCAGTTAGTTGTCCTCCCGAACCCTGACTGCTCTCCACATCCCGAGATGTGCTGGCTGACTGCCTGTGGGTTGCGACGTTAAAATGCACAGGCTTGTTGTCAGCATCTAAAACTGTGCCGGACGTACCCCAGGTGCTCTGTGACTGTCTGTCAAGCAGATGAATGTCGTATGGACGGATGACTGCCTATTCTCAAACAGCTGGTTGAGACACACCCACTGGTGACACCAGGGCTCAGACAGCCCATGCGGGGTGGCCTCAAGGCTCCAGGTGTCAGGACTGTGGAGTGAAAGTGACAGCTCCCGTGCTTCTCCAGAACCATCTGCCTGAACAGAGTCCAGGCTCTGGAAGTGGGGCTGGGTACGCAGAGAGTCAGGGGCCGCCCTAGCAGTCACCCTCCTCCCCAGCACGGGGGCAGGTCTGCCCACTTGGAAGTCCTGCATGTGGGCTATGCCCTGCGGACGCCATGGCAGGTCTTGGGCGCACGGTGCAGGCCCAGCTCCTCCCGCCCCATCCAGAGGGTCTGCGCCGCTGGAGACGGAGCAGGGACTCCGGCTGTGCCGGTCTCTGCCTTCGGCCCAGCTGGCCAGTTGACAGACCTTTGGGAGCGCATTCCCAGAGGGGAGAGCACTGGGTGGCCCTCACCAGACGAGCTAGAAGCCCAGGCCCTGTACCCCAAGAGGGAACAGGAGGACTGTTCCTTTAAGTTCTCACTGAGAGATACCCCAGGGCCTCCACCTAAGCTCCAACGCCCTGCCCCGCTCCTCAGGCCCCAGCTCCTGCCTCTATCGGGACTCAGTGAGCACAGGTCGCTTCCCATTCTCCCTGGCGCTGGAGGCCCAGGGCCAAGAACCCGAGCTTCCTCCAGGAGACTGCGAGCAGAGGGCCCCAGGGTGACTCAGCGTTCTGGAGAACCGAGGGGCTGGGCGGAGACAAAGGCTCCGGTGAGGGAGGCGGCGAAAGGACCCCAGACCGAGGCCGACCGCCCTCCGCTCCGGCAGGAAGGAAGGATTCCTTTCGGAAAGAAGTGCCTCTGCGTGCGGACAGCGGCTCCATCTCTGGCCTGCACCCTGTCAAGCCAGAACTCAAGCCACAGCGCCCTCCCAGCCCAGCCCCGCACCTTGGTGGAGGGGGTCCTGCTGGTGGAGGTGGAGGTGCGAGTGGATGTGGGAGTGCTGGTGGTGGTGCGGAGTCACGTTGAACATCTGCAGGCGGGCCAGAGGGTCGCTGGTCAGCGACGCCATGCGCTCGGCGTGGATCCGCTCGGCCGCCAGTCTATCAGGGTAGCTCATCTCGGGCCGCAGCTGGGGGCCCGCCAGGGCCAGTCTCTCCCTCTCCAGGGGGTTCAGGCCCGGGTGGAAAGAAGCGAAAGGGTGGGGGCCCGCCGTGGGGGGGATGGTGAGGGCGCTGTGCCGGGCGAAGTGCTCCATGGGGTTGGTGGCTGGGTGCAAGGGGTCCAGCTCCGGGGGCTTCACCTCGAAGCCTGGCTTCATCCTCTCCCGCAGCTCCCGCTCCCGGATCTCCCGCTCCCGGATCTCCCGCTCCCGGAGCTCCCGCTCCCGGATGGTGGGGTCCACATTGTAGAGGCCGGGCATGTGGTAGGCCAGCAGAGGGTCAGTGGGGTTGAGGGGCATGTAGAAGGGGTGGTTGCGGTTGGTGGGTGACATGACGTGGGGCCGAGCGTACTCGCTCAGAGTCCGAAGGGCAGGCGTGTCGGGCCCGATGTACGGAGGCACCGCGGCAATGGTGGTTGGTGGTGGCTCGAAGGATGGCCGCAGGTGGCCAGAACCACTGAGCTGGGGGTCGCTGAGGCGGCCTTCATGGGCCGAGCTGGACGCCTTCTGCTGAAGGAAGGGAAGGTTGTGAGGGGCAGGCACTCACTCTGCAGAGCCAAGCCCGGCCTTGCTGCTATCCCACACCCGCCAGCCAAGGTGGTCCGTCGGCCCCAACAAGAGCAAGCCCCGGCCACAGCCAGGGATAGGCATGGGCCGCGAGGACACGGTCCAGCCCCTGCTGAATGGTCTACTTTGTGCCTGCAGCTTCCCTCGTGCCCTGGATGAGGCTGGGCTGTGCACAGCAGAAAGTGGGCCGCAGAGCAGAGCTGGGGAGGGAACCCCCGTGGCCTGGTGGATCCCCAACTCACGGCTGATCTCTCTGCCTCCCGCTCCCGCTCTCGTTCCCGCTCGCGCTCTTTCTCCTTCTCCTTCTCGCGCTCCCGCTCCTCTCGTGCTTTCTGCTCAGCCTCCCGTTTGGCCTTTTCGATGGCCTCCTCCCTCTTCTTGGCCAGTTTGGATCCCACCAGAGGCATGAAATACAGGTCTGTCCGAGCACACGAGTTGTAACCACGGTCCAGATGTTTGTAGAACCTAAAGAAGGCCACATCTCTCGCTGGGGCCCTGCCAAGGCCTCCGCCTGCCCCAGCTGCCCATCCTGTCCCTGCCCTGACTGTGCCCGCATTCCTGGGAAGCCAGTACCTGGCTGACTGGCTGGCATGGCTGGGGGTGTCCACCACAGTGGGCTCGGGGGACGGGCTCCTAGGCGGGGGCGGTGGGCTCTCGGGCTCCTCAGCATCATCTAGAGCCTCTTCCTTGATCTGGACGGTGGGGAGTGGGCAGGCTGCCCCGCCGGGGCCGCTGCCTCCCGAAGACACAGCAGCAGAGCAGGGCGGCTGGGCCGAGGGGCCAGGTCCCGCAGGAGGGGTGGAGGTGGAGGAACAGGTGGGAGGGGTGATGGAAGGAGGTCCCCCGGGGACAAAGGGGTGCTGAGCAAATGGGGGCTGGGGGGGCACCTGGTGGAGGCCCGCTGGGGGGTGAGTGGCAGCAGCAGGAGGCAGGCTCTGGCTCTGGGTCAGCACCGGGGGCTGTGCAGGGGAGGAGGGCAGGGGCTGGCTCTGAGGCATGAGCTGCAGGGGAGGGGGATGGGCTGAGGGGGGATGGTGCGTGGACAGGGAGCTCAGAGGCTTCAGTGCTGGAGGGGGTGGGAGGTTGGCATTCATGGAGAAGGGCGAGGGCCCTGAGAGGTGAGGTGGGTGCTTGTGGGCTTGGGGGGCCGGCAGCTGGGGGATGGGCGTGGTGGGTGGGGGCTTGATGTGGGGCATGGCCAAGGGGGCTGGTGGCAGGGGTTGCTCCCGTGGGGGCTGCTGGGGCTGCAGGGCTGACTGCGAGGCCGTGGGCTGCAGGGAGGCATGAGGAAGAGCAGATGCTTGAGAGGCCTGGGGAGGGAGGCCAAAGGGCTGAGGGGGGCCTGGGTGCTGCAGCAGGGGCCCGGCCTGGAGGCTGTGAGGGCCACCTGGGCCCTGACTATGTAGCGGGGGCTGGCTGTGAGGTGGGGCAGAGGTCTGGCCAGCCGTCACGGTCAGAGGCTGGAGCGGGGGGTGTGGTGAGGGCAGCCGCTGTGGGTGTAGGGCAGGCGCCTGCTGGATGTGAGCATGGGGAGCAGAAGCCACGGGAGCCTGCGGCTGGCTAGGGGGCTGGGAGGCTGAGGGTGAGCCCTGGGGAGGGCCCGCAGTGGCAGCGGGCGTGGGCCCCGGTGTGGGGAGCTGGGAGGCTCCGGGTGGGACAGTGGAGGGAGCTGGAGGGGCCGCGCTGGGGGCCCCCTGCAAGGCTGGGGGCTGGGCCTGCAGCATCTGCTGCTGGGCTGAGGAGTCCGAGTCGCTCTCGTTGTCCTGGGGGCTGGGGATGCTGGGGGACGTGCTGCGATTGTCCTGGTCGATGTCTTTGGGGTCACTGCTGCCCTCATCGTTGACACTGCGGCTGTCCGAACTCTCTCCCTCGCCTTCCGATGGCGAGTTGGGCCGGCTGATCTCCTAGGGCCAGAGATGGCAGAGATGGAGCTAGGACGGCGACGGCCCGCACTGCGCTGCATTGCTAGTGCCTGGCACACAACCTAGGTCTGTGCACACAAGGTGGCAAGCCTGGCCCCAGGGACCACAGGTACCCTCTGACCCGGCAAGTCTCGGAAACCACTCTAGGTCTCTCCCTAGGAGACGGGGCACTGCTAGGCCCCAGGGAGATCTGGGATCGAGGCCTCTCAAGGGGTGTTAGCTGCCAGCTACAGTCACAGTGGCTCAGCTGCGCATCTCACCTGGGTTTTCGTCTTCTTGGAGCTGGTCCTGTCGGCCTCCTCCGTATCAGAGGCCACCTTCTCCCGCTGGCGCTTGGTGCTCTTAAGGGGTGATGAGGCTTCCTCCTTCACCTTCTGCAGTGGGAAAGCCCAAGAGGAGCATCAGGACAAGGGAGGATGTCCCATCAGCCCCAAGGGGTAAATGATGATGGTTTGCTGACACCTTGCTCTGGAAGGGACTAGTTGAGGTCAGGAAAAACAAGTATCTGGGGGTGGAAATAACTTGGCTTTAGGGGGAAGGGGCCTTTCCAATCTCACCTTAGCCTTTGCCCCTGAGGCCTTGGGAAACTCAAGGCAGAGATAGTCCTCAAAGGTCAGTGCTGGGACCTGCACTGGACCCCGTTTCTCCAGACCCTAGACCCCAGGCCGCAATCTGCAGCCCTAGTCTAGGGCAATGCTGATGCCCAGGGAGGTTCCAGGAACGACCTGCAGCCCCAATCTGAGGGATTTGAACATCAACTCCAGCAACCTGGGCTTTATTGAGAGGGCAGGGTCGAGCAGGCCCCACTGCCCTGGGGGATGGGCACCTCACCTTGGCTGACTTCTTCACGGTCTCTGCTTTGCTATCATTGCTGGAGGTGCTGGCAGCACTGGGTGAGTTCCGGCCACTGGAGCGGATGTCTTCATTGATGGGTGAGGCGCGACCATCCGGGCTGGCTGGCTGCTTCTTCCGACCACTGCGCAGTGTAGACATCTGCCCACCCAAATCGGAGGCTGGTGAGACTAGAGCCCACCGCACACACAGGATCCCCAGGAGCCGATCCTGCCACCGGCATGATGGCAGATACCAGGCTCTGGCAAGCAATAGGCGCCTCTGGCTGTCCCTCCCTGTGTGGGGGTCAATGCGGAACTAAGGGAGGAGGGGCTGAATGGGCGGGTTCACATGGCAAAGACAGCAATTCCTAAACCCAAAGCACTCATCTCTGGAGATGGTCCTGGCTGTGGGGTAGAAACAAGCTAGATTTTCTAAGGGGGCAGACGTCCGCGAGGGCCTCTGCCAAGTTCTCCAGAATGATCACATACTCTGCTTCACATCACCTCGCTGTTCATTCCACAGAACTGCCCACTTCCTCACCCAAACCAAACCAAACCCCTGCTGATTTTGTCTGACAGTATGACCCAAAGGGAGAAGGTGTCAAATAATGTAGCTCAGCTCCTAAAATCACCAAACAGTCGAGCACGTTTCTGCAAAGCCATGGCACGCACAAGAGACGGGGGGACAATGATTCACATCAGTCCATCTGCCAGGTGGCCTGGGCACCAGCAGCCTTGACAAGATGGCAGGGTCAGAGGAAGGTGGACGATGCCACCTACATGCCTACAAGAGTCACTGGGGAGGCCAGCAACAGGGAAGACCCTTGGGCATCCCCAACTCCCAAGCTGGGAAAACCCTTGTTCCCAAAGGTCCCCACAGCCACATTTCTAACCTGGAAAACAGAATCTCTATACAAGTGAGAAGAAAAATGTGCCAGAAGTTTTGAAAACTGAATCAAATATTGGGGGGGAAGAAAAAAGAGCAAGCTCCTGCAAGTTTTAAGTAGAAGAGAGATGCCACACGACAGGTGGTGGGCCCAGGGGCCAGAGGAAAGTTGGGGGACTCGGAGAGCCTGCACTGAACCAGACACTGACACCTAAGAGTTCTCTGTAAAAATAAGCTCAGGACGTGCACCCCACTGACAATGCGAGGGAGGGAGAGAGCAGAGGCTCTTTCCAGACCCAAAGACAAAACTAATAATACCTTTGAGCCAAGCATTTCTTTAAGGAGGATGGTTCTCTACCTGAAACCAATCGCTTCCCAGCCTCCTGGGAGGCACAAGCCCCAGCATCCTAGTAACCTGAAGTGGCCGGGTCACCTGCCCTGGGGACTCACCGAGCCACGACTGCGCCGCGTCCTCATGCTATGCTTCCCACTGAGCCCATCCTCTTCCTCTTTGACAGGTTTGAACATGAATGGGGGAGGGTCCACGGGCTTCTCAATGGGCGGGAGCTCGCCGTATTTCTTGAAGTGGATGCGGCAGTCTGTACACAAGAGGATGTTCTCCCGGCCCCCGTGGTGCCAGTCTTTGGAGGCTGCAGCAGGGCGGAGGGGTGCAGGTGAGGGCCCTTCCGTGGGCTCAGGCAGACGCCGTCACTTGCTTGGCTGCTGCTTGCTCTCTCCCAAGGTGGGAGAGGAGTTCAGGAATATCCATTCCCTGCCAATTCTCATGGTGCCCAAGAGGAGCTAGAAGCAGGCTTCCCAGAAACACAGGTACCCCCACCCCGACCACACTGACTATAAACGGGGGAGGGACAAAAGCTAGAGATTTCTGCTTTCTCAGGTAACCCTGAAGCACAATGCAAACGTCAAGCCAATGACACTCTGGCAGGTCTTTAACTAGATTCATGAAATGTTCAGAACCTGAATGTGCCTAAGCCTGGCCTGTCTCAGTGAGTGCTCCCAACGCTCCCCGCTCCCCCGATCCCCACTTACTGGTGGTAAAGCAGTGGCGGCAGGCGTACCCCTTCAATTCCTGCTCGCTGTCCTCACTGTCAAAGTCATCCTCGCTGGCTGAACTCAGGTCCACTGGGCATGGCAGGAACATAACAGGGGTGGGGGAGACACCATCATGCTTGGCCAAGACCAGGACCACCTGTGACCTGTGGCTGCCCCAGGCTCCGAGCCACCAGTCAGAGCGGCATGGAAGGCTGAGGTGGGGCAGTGTTCACGAAGGGCCACTCTGAATTCCTCAGGGCCAGTGAACAGAACGAAGAACTCATATGAAGGGCGGTACCCAAGGGTCTGCCCTACCCTGTATTTGGAGACTGATGTCACACCTGAATCCTGATGTGGCAAACACTGATGCCCACAATTGGGAATGGGGGCAGCGAAGCATAACCATACGAATCCCCTGACACTTCCAGGCATCCTGAGGAGCTCCCTCCTCACTGAGTCCTACACCTCCCCCACCAACCCCAGACCAATGGATCATTTCTTGTTTGCATGCGCAACATAAGCAACCCGCAGGCTGAGTGCTCTGGGCCAGGACAGAACCATAAGGCCCACTGCTGTTTGCTAACTCTTAAGAGTTAGGAAGGTATCATACTACACTGCACATCATACTGGGACCAAGAGGAGGGTCTTGATAAAGCAGGAGGAAAAAGAAGGAAATGTTAATCTGATCTTATTCCTAACACAACACCAACAGAACTCAAACGGTACCTCTTCCACTAAGTGGACAACCTCTGAAGTTACTGAAAACACCCCAAGACAGGGTCAAGCCTTACATTTTCATAAAAAATTAAAATGATGTTGAGATTATTTTAAAAATATAAATGCATGAATAATTTCTAAAACTCTCCTACCAAATCCCCAAGTCAGCGCCCACCCGGCGCAGGCTCTGCGATGTCCCTCACACTATGCTGCACAGCGGGCAGCACACACTATGTCCCCAGCCTGTACCGTGACAATGGTGCCTGTGCGGGCGGGCCCAGAGAGGGGGCAAGGCGCTGTGGCTGCGTGGGTGAAGTCCCTCACTTACGGAACTCGCTGGAGGGGGGTCTGGAGGGCGTGCTGACAGGTGTGGACGCGGTGCGGGTCTTGATCCTCCTGAACACGGCCTGCCTGCGGTGCCTCCGATGGGCCCTGGAGCTGGCTGCTTCAGGGGTTTTCTTCCAGTAGTAATAGAAGGTGATTAGCTCCCCCTGCAGGAGAGAAGCCTGGCTGTGACCCAAGGGTTCAGAGGGGCTTTACTTCTCCAGGTCACCCAGTCTGCCCGCCCTCTGCCACCAGGAGCAGGAGCTGGTTCCTAATAGCTGTGCTGGAGATGAGGACAAAGGACAGTCGTGAGAGGAACAGGGCTTGCTCGAGACACACCTGTGAGCTGCCCACTAACTGACAAAATGGGATGTTCCCCTCAGCCCAGCAGAGCAGTATTTCTAGATCTCAAGAACATTCGTTCATTCAACAAGTACCTGCTGAACGCCTACCATGTGCCAGATGCCATGGAGGAAAACCAATGAACAATCGAAAAAAAGGAAAATCCTTGCCTTCCAGCAGAGTGTGTGTACAGATGTTTTCTTCACAGCACTCCACTGAAATCACACAGGTATGACGAGGAAATCCCTGGCCAGTTAGGTTATTCCAGAAATAAGGAAACAACTGAGATGGCGGCGAGCTGGGGTTAGGAAAAACAGAGACCCCAGATCCAGGAAAACTGCTCCACAGCCTCTACCCCAATCTGAGTGCGCCCATCAGGACAAGCTAACACAGCATCCTGAAGGTGAAGACTGAGGCCTGACAACGGAAGGCCCTGAGGGACAGACACAGTGGTGCTGATGCAGAGGGGCAGTGCTGTACGTCACAAGGCCAGCCTTTAGGGCAGAAGGAGCTATTTTTTCCATGGCCCAGCAGAAAGGAAGGCAAGAAAGGAAGAAAGGAAGGAGGGAAGGAAGGAAGATAGAAAGAAAGGAAAGAAAGAAAGAAAGAAAGAAAGATAGATAGAAAGAAAGGAAAGAAAGAAAGAAAGAAAGAAAGAAAGGAGGGAGGGAGGGAGGGAGGGAGGGAGGGAAGAAAGAAAGATAGATAGATAGCAAGGGGGTATGAGCCCAAATGCAACTTTGAGACCCAGCCCCTCCTCCAGCTCTGCGCTCAGTGGGGAGTCTGTCTGAAATTCTCTCCCTCTGCCACTGTCCTCCATGCATGCACGTGTGTGCTCTCTCTTTAAAACAAATAAATAAACCCTTATAAGAAAGGGGCTTTTTTGCTCCCCCCACCCCCAGGAGCTCAGCAGGCACACCACACACACCCACAGGTGAATGGCAGGTTCCACTAACCCCGGTCAACACAACATCAACTGCTTAAAACAAGATCCCAAGATAAAGTATCTTTACCTGGAATTAAAAAAGACAAAAAGGGGCGCCTGGGTGGCTCCGTGGGTTAAGCCTCTGCCTTCGGCTCAGGTCATGATCTTAGGGTCCTGGGATCGAGCCCCACATCGGGCTCTCTGCTCTGCAGGGAGCCTGCTTCCCCTCCCCCCGCCCCTGCCTGCTTGCCTCTCTGCCTACTTGTGATATCTCTCTCTCTCTCTCTGTGTCAAATAAATAAATAAATAAATCTTTAAAAATAAATAAATAAATAAATAAGACCAAAAAACCCCACTTAAAATAGCAGAAGTGTGTAGTTCACATTGATTTTCTCTAACTGAATCAATCTTGTGGACAATCAATTAGCGTGGCTGACTACTGTATCCTGGGAAGCCACCCTGTGGGAAACTCGCACCCCAAGGTGGGAGCCAGGTGGCCAGAGCACCACACCACCTCACAGAAGGGAAGGCTCAGTGCCCTGTGAAGGGAGGAGCCAAGAGAGAGACACGAAGATTCTGTTCTCCGGTAACCTGAGATCTGGCTGGAAAGACCAGTGCCAGTGAGACGGCGGTGGACAAATAGCACAGACACCATGTGACAGACGCTGGTGATGGCTAGAGCCTCTGGTCATGTGAGGTTTCACTAAAACACCCCCCAGAAAGCAACGGCCTTAGAATGATGAGAAGTGAGTTTGTAGAGAAGTAGACAGATTTTAAGTGGGTAAATGGCTTTTGCAAAGCAGGTAGTACATGCGTGTTGAATGTTCACTGCTCGTAGTCGGAGTCTATGCCTGCGCATTTTCTAAGAAGTGGGACCACAGCTGTCGTCAGATCCTTAAAGGAGCCTGTGATCCCAGAGAAGCTTCCAACTGGCTTCCACAAGCCTACACACAGCCTGTATCTCTTGGAGCCGTGGGTATGTTTCAGTCTTTCCAAGGGCCACTTAAAAGAATGCTAGTGACTGCCAATATTGAACAGATGAAGTGTGACCCCAGGCCAAGGAGGCCAAGAGCCGGCCACCAAAGAAGAGCCTGCAAACTCACCCCACCCTTTTCAGATCCACGAGACAGAAACTGAGTGATAAGTGAAAATGCAGGAATGCCTGCCCTTGGATTTCTGAGCTGTTTGCCATCACATGCTGTTCTACAAACGCAGGCTACCCTTGTCCCTGTGGTCACTGAAGCACTCTGAGCCCCTAGGTCATGAATTGAGAACCTCCTGGCTCCTGCCTCTTTCTTTCCTATTTTCTGGACTTGGAAAGTCACTAATCTCTACTGATCTTTTGGTGTTCGCTGTCTAGAGGGAACAAATTCCTAAACCTACTAGGGGATTAAGAGACCTGTGCTGATATAAAACTGATCTGACTCTGGTTTTCCTATGAGAAAATACAGAACAGAAGCCAAGAGAAGTCACTGTCAGCCTTCAACACTTTGTCAAAGTGACATGCTTTATCAGTTCAAAAAGACAACCAGTACCGTAAATCATGGTCCGATCCCAAACCTGGAAGGAAGAAAGTGGTACCTCCCACTGTCTCCTCTAGCTGAAGTCATTTTAGGGGCTAGCAGATGAGAGGCCTGGGATGTAGGAGGAAATACGAAGCTACAGGAGACAGAAGGAATAAAAAATGGGAGAGAAAGTGAGGTGGAAGGCGCTACCAGGGTCTCTGCCAAAATCTCAGCGCCAGCGGGTGTCATTGGCACAGCTGCCCACACGTCTCCACGCGGCACTGGGCTGCAGCACAGCACTGCCTCCCGCAGTTACGAGGGACCTGCGTCCCCCTCCCGCCGCCCACAGCCAAAGTGCAGGTGCAACTTCTGACTCCCCTAAAACTAACAGTCTACTGTTTACCAGAAACCTTTCCAATGATATAAGTGGTCAATTAACACACATTGTATATGTTTTATGTATTATTTCTGTATTCTTACAATGCAGTAAACTAAAGACAATGTTACTAAGAAAATCATAAAAAGGAAAAATATATATATATACAATACCGGATGACATAAAATAAATCTGCTTGTAAGTGAGCCTGAGCCATTTAACCTGTGCTGTTTAAGGTCAAAAGTATTTCTATGTCTCAAATAGGAATGTTTGAAAGAGTTTCAAATGGCTTTAAAAGATGGCAGAGCTGGCAGATGAAAATCAAGGAAGCCAGAGTTCATTGAGGCTATGGTACTGGCCCAAAGTGAGGTGCCAGACAGAGAAAGGCTCAGGAAAAAAGCATAGGTTCCCAACCTTAACTTCCACTCCTGCACTGTGTACTCCCAGCCTGTGTGAGAAAATTAGGACATGACAAAGAAACCTAATATTGAAATAAACATCAGCATTTTGTCAACAATTAAGAAATAACCGCTTTTAGGGATGCCTGGGTGCCTCATGTGGTTACGCGTCTGCCTTCAACTCAGGTCATGATCTCGGGTTCCTGGGATTAAGCCCTGAGTTGGGCTCCCTGCTCAGCGGAGAGTCTGCTTCTCCCACCAAACTCATGAACTCTGCATGCTCTCTCTCAAATTAAAAAACAACAACAACAACAAAAACTTTTAAACAAGGAAAAGGAGGGGACACCCAGGTGGCTCAGTTGGTTAAGTGTCTGCCTTTGGCTCAGGTCAGGATCTCAGGGTCCTGGGATCGAGTCCCGCACTGGGCTCCTTGCTCAGCGGGAAGTCTGCTTCTCCCTCTGCCTAGTTATTGCTCCCCTGTCAGTGCTCTCTCACAAAAAAAGAAAATCTTAAAAATAAAACAAAATAAGGAAAAGGAGTCCAGAACAGGTTCTATTAGCGGACTACAAAGGATCAAACGACCAAGCCAGAAGGAGTTCCACTACAGGCCTATAAACTAGTTTGGAAAATGAAAACATAAGTTTCAAATTCAGGAAGATGGGGTAGTGACTAGAACTTTCATACGCTGACGGTGGGACTATAAAATGGTTCAAACACTTTTTAAACTTTGGCAGTTCTTACAAAGCTAAACAAACATCTACCATATGACCCAGCAACTGATCCCACTCCTAGGTGTTTACCCAAAAGAAATAAAAACATATGCTCACACGAAGACCTTCATACAGATGCTCACAGAAACTTTACTCTTCGCAGCCAAAAGCTGGAAACACTCCAACACCCCTCGATGGGAGAAGGGATAAAGGGTCACCGCGTGCCCGCCTGTTAGGTGCTACTTGGTAGTAAAAATTCACCAACTGCTGATCAACCTGGTAATATGGATGAGTCTCAACACATCACACTGGATATAAGCAGCCAGATACAAAGGGGTACACAGACCGTATATGATTCCATTCTAAAAAAGGCAAATCTAAAAAAAAAAAAGAGAGAGAGAGAGAGAGAGAGAGAGAAGGCAAATCTACAATCCCAAAAGCAAACGAGTGGTTGCCTAGTCTGGAGGACGAGGAAGTAGAAAACTACCTGCTAAAGAACAGGAGGAAACCTTTTGCGGAGAAGGCAGCATGCTGTGAATGGAGAGTGGTGCTGTTTGCATGGAGGTACGGTTTTCGAACTCCCTGAACTGTGCCCTCACTGCACTTAACGTGGGTGTATTTTTATGGTATAAACGGTGTGCATAGCAACTACACATCAGTGAAGCGGACTTAAAAAAATCCAGGCCAGGTTTTATGAGCCGCCTCTCAACCACTGTGATGTCTACGAGGGGATTAAACACTGGGATGGAGCGAATCTAGGAGGATTAGAAACAGCAAACTGGCGACTGCATGGGTGGCTAGGTCTTGAGCACAAACAAAAGACCATGTCGGGAAGAGCTTTGGTTCTACAAATAGGGAATGAGGCAGCCAGAGGCCTCACCAGGAACGAAGTCAATTGAACTTTAATCAAA